AAGTGTCTTTGATTAATGGGTGTTGATTCTGTATCCTGCTACTTTGCTGAATTCATTTACTAGTTCCAGAAGTTTTCTGGTAAAATTTTTTGGGTCTTGTTGGTATAGGATCATATTGTGGGTAAATAGTGCTAATTTGGGTTCTTCTTTTCCTATCCAAATCCCTTTAATTTCTTTAGTCTAATTGCTCTGGCCAGTGTTTCAAAAACTATGTTAAATAGAAGTGGTGAGAGAGGGCATTCCTGTCTTGTTCCAGTTTTTAGAGGGAATGCCTTCAGTTTTTCTCCATTTAGAATGATGTTGGCCTGGAGGTTAGCATAGATAGCTATTACGATGTTGAGATATGTTCCTGTTATCCCTAGTTTTTTTCTAGTGCTTTGAACATGAAGCGGTGCTGTATTTTGTTGAATGCTTTTTCTGCATCTGTTGAGATGATCATATGGTTCTTATCTTTAAGTCTATTGATGTGATGAATTACATTTATTGATTTCCGTATGTTGAACCAACCTTGCAACTCTGGGATGAACCCCACTTGCTCATAGTGAACTATGTTTTTGATATGTTTTTGTATTCTATTTGCCAGAATTTTATTAAGAATTTTTGCATCTATGTTCATTAGAGATATTGGTCTGAAGTTTTCTTTTTTGATGTGTCTTTGCCTGGTTTTGGAATCAGGGTGATACAGGCCTCATACAATGAGTTTGGAAGTGCTCCCTCTTTTTCTATTTCCTGGAATAAATTGAAGAGTATTGTTATTAGTTCTTCTTTAAAGGTCTTGTAGAACTTGGCTGTGTATCCATCCAGTCCTGGGTTTTTCTTGGTTGGTAGGCTTCTGATAGCATCTTCTATTTCATCACTTCAAATTGATCTGTTTAAATTGTGTGTATCACCCTGATTCAACTTGGGAAAGTCATATGACTCTAGAAATTTGTTGATGCCTTTGATGTTTTCTATTTTATTGGAATACAAGTTTTCAAAAATAATTTCTAATTATCTTCTGTATTTCTGTAGTGTATGTTGTGATATTTCCTTTTTCATCACATATGTTAGTAATTTGAGTTTTCTCTCTCCTTCTCTTTGTTAGCATGGCTAAGGGTCTGTCAATTTTATTTATTTTTTCAAAGAACCAACTTTTTGCTTTGTCAATTTTTTCAATTTATATGTCAAGAGCTTTGTAATGTTTTGAACAACTAATAATAAAAATTTTTTTTCAATTGTTTCTTTTGTTTCAATTTCATTTATTTCAGCTCTGATTTTAATTATTTCCTGTCTTTTGCTTTTGGTGTTGATTTGTTCTTCTTTTTCTAGGGCTTTGAGATGTAATGTTAGCTCATTTATTTGTTGACTTATTCTTCTTTTAAGGAATGAACTCCATGTAATGAACTTTCCTCTTAGTACTGCCTTCATGGTGTTCTCTCTTCTTTTTAGAACGCAAATATATAAGATAATAATTATAAATCTATGTTAACAGACACATAATAAAGATGTAATCTGCAATGGTAACAATATATAAAATATAAAGGAGAGCGATCCACCACGTGTCTGGAAAGCATGGCGCCTCCAGTGGGTGCAGCACCGCTGAGCAGCACCTCCAGGCTTTGGATGATGATTGAATGGTATTGGCTGTGGATTTGTGAAACCCATCATCTTAAAATATTGAGCTTAAGGATTTTTGTGATGAAATTTCTGTAAATGGTGCAGTCTCTGCTTCAGTTTCTGAAGCTGGAAAAGGACCCTCTAGCAGCCACATTGTGGCAGACACCATGGACCTGAACCCCAAGTGGAATCTTCCATGTGTCTGCTCAGCAAAGTAACTAACTGCAAATTGCTTTGCCAGAAGTTACCATGGAAGTTGTGATTGGGGTGAGATTTAACAAGCTTGAAAACTCGCCCCAGCTGCGTACAGCCTGCCAAGTAAAGCAAAGTGAAGAAGTGGGTCAGCAGATGGGAAGATCCACATTGTTATCATCTGCTTCCAAGGGGCTCAACCAACTCAGGTTATCTCCCAGTGGTGCCAGACAGGATCTGCACAGCCCTGCTTCTGCTAATGCCTATGAGTTAATCCTACCCAAATAGAATCATAAGAATCTTCAAAACTAGCCAAGGAATTTGAGTGACTGAAATTACCATCACCACTTTTAGCAGCTAGTAAAGTTGGGGTATAACTAAAAATATCTGAACTTCAGTTTAGGTGGTCTAGGTATAATCTCATTATAGATGAGACTGCAGTAATTGTAAACTGAAATTGTTAATGTGCATACATTGTTGTAGGAAGCTAAGGGGAAACAATGCTTGGCCTCAAAAACCATTTCTCGGTGGATTTCCTGTGAAGTCATTGTTTCACTTAAAATTTTGAAGCACAATTAAAGGTTCTTCTATTTTATATTTTTTAAAAATTATATATATTTATATATATAAAATAAAAATAATAAATATATATAATAATATATATTATATATAAAGATATATATTTATATAAAGATATATATTTATATAAATATATATATAAGGAGAGGAGTAGAGATGTATAGAAGCAGTGTGTATAGTATCAACATTAAGTTGGCATTATTCAAGTTATGTTGTTAACAAGCTTAAGATATCACTTTGTAGTTCCCAAGATAACCATTGGAAAACAACTTTAAAAATATACAGAAAAAGACAGAAGATGGGAACCCAAATAATACACTGAAAAAAAATCAACTAATTAAAAAAGGCAGTAATGAAGGAATAGAAGAAAAAAATTTAAGACATGTAAAATCATAAGTAATAGCATAAGTAAATTCTTCGGAAATAATCACATTAATTATAAATGGTTTAAAGTTTCCCACTAAAAGACAGAGATCAGCAGATTAGATTTTTTTTAAACAGGATCTATCTGATGATTTCAAGATACTCTCTTCAGATATAAACACATAAGTGGGTCAAAAGTAGAAAGATAAAATCAGATATTCCATGGAAATCATAACCAAAATTGCGGTGGTAGCTAGATTATTGTCATACAAAATAGATTTGAAATCAAGAGTTCACAGGTAAGCTGGGGTTGTTGCTCAGTGGTAGTGTGCTTGCTTAGCATGTGTGAGGCACTGGGTTCAATTCTCAGCACCACATATAAATACATGAATAAAATAAAGGTCCATCAACATCTAAAAAAAAAAGAGCTTGCAAGAGACAAAGAAGGATATTATCTATTGATGAAAGGCTCAATACAGCAACAAAATATATATAACAATTACATTGAACAGAGTCCCAAAATATGTAAAATAAAAATTGACAGAATTAAAGGGGAAAACTGACAGTTCCACAATAATAATTATAGGCTTCAATACTCTACTTTTAATAATAGAACTGGACAGGAAGTTAAAATATAATTAGAGGATTCAAACAACACCATGAACCAATTAGACCTAATAAATAGGACACTCTGAATATGTACTCTTCTTAAGTGCACATGAAGTATTATTCAGGATAGGTCATATGTCAAGCCAAAAAATAAATCTCAAAAAACTGAAACCATACAAAGTATCTTTTATGATCATAATGGAATAAAACTAGAAATCAGTAACAGAAGGAAGAATGGAAAATTCACAGATTCATAGAAATTAAGCAACACACACAAACAACCAACAATTCAAAGAAAAAAGTTAAGGAAGGAAAAACACCTTGTGATAAATGAAAACAAAACTACAATATGTCAAAATTTATCAGATGCAGTAAACATGATGCTCACAAAGAAATTTATAGTTTAAATATATACACTGAAAAATAAGAAAACTCTCAAATCAACAACCTAACTGTACACCTTAAGGAAGCAGAAAAAGAAGTGCAAACTATGCCAAAAGCTAGTAGAAGCAAGATAATTAATCAGATTGGAGAAAAAATATCTAATAGAAAAACAATAGGGAAAAATCAATGAAATACAAATGCAGATTTGTGGAAAAGATCAACAAAATTGACAAATCTTTAGCAAGACTAAGAAAAAAAAAGGAGGGAAGATTCAAATCTCTAAAATCAGAAATGAAAGTGCTGGTGCATGCCTATAATTCCAGACTTGATAGGCCCAGTCAGGATCACAAGTTCAAGGCCAGCCTCAGCAATTTAGCAAAGACCTAAGCAGCTTAGCAAGATCCCCATCTCAAATTAAATACATTAAAAAGGGCTGGGGATGTGGCTCTATGGTTAAGTGTCCCTGGGTTCAATCCCTAATGCAAAAAAATAAAATACTTTCCAACAAGTTGGATAACCTAGATGAAATACACAACTTCCTAGTAATACACAAGCAAAAATCATTTTTAAGTATTACATTTATGTCTAGGCAAGGTGGCATATGCCTGTAAACCCAAGTACTCAGGAGGTTAAGGAAGGAGGATGGCAAGTTTGAGGCCATCCTAGTAACTTAGGAAGAATCTGTCTCAAATAAAAGTTAAAAGATTTGGCGGGTGTAGCTTAATGGTAAAGTTTCCCTAGATTCCATCCCTAGTACCCACCCCTCAAATTACCTATAGGTATGTGGGGTGTGCGTGTGTGCGTGCGTGTGTGTGTGTGTGTGTGTGTGTGTAAGTAATATGGGAGGCTTTAAAATAACTCCAAAAGGATAAATACAAAAGGAATTAAAAGTGGTTATCGTATAAAGGTGTATTAAAAATTGTAATGCAAAAAAAAGAAAAACATGTTTTAAATGAACATCAGCTGTTATCAGAAACATAAAAAAATGAGTTATTAAAAACAAAAATTCATTAAAAAATGGTTATCACCAGATGAGTAAAAAACCACGTGTTTTCATACTTTCTTGCCCATCTTGGTTTTCTAAAATTTTTTGTAATAAGCATATAATGCTTTTGTAATAAGGAAAAAACAATAGCAAAGGAAATTCCACCTGGAAAAAAAAAACATAAAACTCCTGATTAACCTGGGGAAATTACATTCATGGGGATAAACGGATATCCTCCTATTTAAACCTAAACTGCTTGTATTAAACAAGTATGAGAACCATTGCTACATACCTTCTGGCTAGCTCCTCTGGCATTCGCTTTGGAACCAAAGCTTTGTCTAGCTGAATCTCCAACACAATGTATGTCCCTGCTTCAAAATATTGCTGTAAAGACATTTTTTCTTATTTGGTATTTTCAGGAAAAAAAAATATTTAAGAGAAAATTTTAGTAACATAAGAGAATGTTTACAATTTTCTGAGTGAGAAAATGCACATAAAATCACATACATAGCTTGATCTTAACTGTTAAAATCTTTCCTACATAGAAAAATAACTGAAAAGGAATATAGTAATAGTGGTTATCTCATGGAAGAAAAGGTTTCTACTTTTATTCCTGGAAATTTCTACCTCAGTTGAAGACCCATTGAACTTATCCCATAACTTCTCTTGGAATTCTTTTAAGTAAATGTCCTTCTTTCTTCTAGCAATCTTCTTTAGTGTGTCCTGCAAAAATATTCTTTTCATAATCTTTTTATATTCTCATTCACAATCTCCTCATTACCATTTATGAACTCTAACTGCTGAATAATTCTATTTAGATTTTTGCTAGTATCCTAAATACAACATGTCCAAATTTATCATTTCTCCCCTATCGACCTCTCTGGACTTTTCTCTTTATGGCATTTTCATCCTTCCAGAAAATAAGGCTTGAAATCTTAGTTATCTTTATCTTTTCTTCATCAACAAACCCAAAGCTTCTGAGTTCCAAACATCTTGCCTCTCCAGGTTTCTGACTTCTTTTTTTTTTTTTTAAAAGAGAGAGGAGAGAGAGAGAGAGAATTTATTTTTTTTTAATATTTATTTTAGTTCTCGGCAGACACAACATCTTTTGTTTGTATGTGGTGCTAAGGATCGAACCTGGGCTGCATGCATGCCAGGCCAGTGCGCTACCGCTTGAGCCATATCCCCAGCCCGGTTTCTGACTTCTTTATACTACATTACCTGCCCTAAATCAAATCGTCATCAACACCTCATGAAAAACCTACTATCATAGGGAGAAATCTCAGAAAACTTGGAATGGAACTACCATTTGACCTAGTTATTTCACTCCTCAGCATATACCCAAAGAACTTAAAATCAGCATACTACAATAACATAGCCACATCAATGTTTATAGCAGCTCAATTCACAATAGCTAGCTATAGAACCAACCTAGGTGCCCTTCAACAAATGGATAAAGAAAATGTGGTACATATACACAATGGAATACTACTCAGCCATAAAGAAGGCATTTGCAGGTAAATGGATGAAAATGGAGACGACCACGCTAAGTGAAATAAGCCAATCTCAAAAAACTAAAGGCCAAAACAAATGTTCTCTCTGATATGCAGATGCTGACTCACAATAAGCAGAGGGCAGGCCTCGGGGAGGGAAGAGTCCAGTTCACTGGATTAGACAAAGAGGAATGAAGGGAAGGGAGGGGGCATGGGAATAGGAAAAACATTAGAATGAATCAGACATAACTTTCCTAGTTCATGTATGAATATACCATCAGTGAAGCTCCGTATCATGTACAACCACAAAAATGGAAGTTATACTCCATGTATGTTTGATATGTCAAAATATATTCTACTTTCATGTCTAACTAAAAAGAACAAATTAAAAAGAATTAAAGTCAGCATACTTTAGATATACATTCATACCCATGTTTATCACAGCACAATTCACAATAGCCAAGTTATGGAATCAGTCTAGGTGTCAACAAATGAATCAATAAAGAAAATGTAGGGTGTGTGTGTGTGTGTGTGTGTGTGTGTGTGTGTATATATATATATATATATATATATATATATATATATATATAAAATAAAGTTTTATTTAGCCATAAAGAAAATTAAATTATGTCATTTGTAGGAAAATGGATGTAACTGCAGAAGATAATGTTAAGTAAAATAAGTAAAGACTCAGAAAGAAAAGTATCATGTTTTCTCTCATATGTGGAAGCTAGTGGGGACAAAAAGGGGAAGAGAATGTCATAAAAGTAGAAGGAAGAGAGCTGGGCTTGTGCTTGGTGGCAGAGCGCTTGCATACTATTGATGAGGCACTGGGTTCAATCCTCAGCATCAGATAAAAATAAATAAATTAGATTAAGTTTAAATTCTAAAAAAGAAGGAGAAGAAGAAAGAAAGTAGAGGGAAGACCAATAGGGTAGTGGAAGGAGACCAGGGAGAGGGTGGAAGAGGAGGTAAGGAAAGTTACTAAGGAGAGAAGGTGAGCAAGTAAAACATTACCCATGTACCAATACACCATGATGAAACCCAACATTCCATATAATATGCACCAATAAAAATAAACGAATAAAAAACCCTTTAATATGAGTCTCCAAGATGAGGCTCAAGAATTCCTCATTACCTACAGAATAAAGCTCAAATTTTTTAGCAAGACTCATTTTCCCACAACTACACTCTGCCTCTCTCTTTCCACCTCTTTCTAGAACCTGTCCTTTCTTTTCATTCCTCTGTACCAGACAGAATTGACTGATGTACTCTAAATTCTACTCTTATAGGTTTTCTTTGTGCTTTCACTCAAGCTATCCCCTGGCCATGCAATGCCTCTTGTTTCATCTTTATTAAGCAAAGAGTCCTTTCTTTTACTACTTAGTTCAGATAATCACCTCTTTGATGAAGCCTTCCCTGAGACAGTCCTATCCTAACAGATATTAATCGTTGACTCATTTGAGCCCACAAAAAACTTATATTTGTACCTGTATCATAGCACTTAACAAAATTAGGCATTATGGTTAGATTTGTACCAATCCATTTCTCCTACCAAACAGCTGAGTGTTCCTGAGGGCAAAAGAATAAATACTGCAGATGATATATCTTTGCATCCCTGCTTAATACAGTAAAATTAATGAAAAACAAAAAAATTTCAATGCTAGAAAGGACCTTAAAATTAATTTGATACCAACTCATTTTACAGATTCTTAAGACAAAAAGATTTGTCCAAGGTCATAACCTAGCCATGGGCAAATATAGGAGGTAGTTCAGATTCCCTGTCCTGAGCCTTTTCCACTATAGCTGTCTTGTTCAGTAAAGGTTTGATGAATTTAAACTTAATTTTCCAAAATTTTATGCATAATTACCTGTCCTTCTGCATTGTGGCTTAGAAGAGGTTCACCTTCCAAAGGAGTATCTGAACTCTGAGATTTTATACTAGGAGCTTGCTGAAAGAAAATGAACATACTTCAAAAACTGAATCCTTAACATGGCCTTCATTATGACAGGAATGATGATCATTACATCAAAATAAAAACTATATTGATACAATTCACCAAATGAGAAATCAGTGCGAGCCTTCGGCAGTAAGAAAACAGACAAAATCAACTTTTCAAGAACCTACCACATCCCCAGGCTTAATCTTTCCATCTATGTCTTTTTCTTTGACTGTTTTATCTTCTTTCAGATTCTTAGAAACAAGTGGTTTGGTCAGTGGAGAATTAATTCCTCCTACTTTATTATTCTGATTCAAATGATGACCAGTATCTCGGAACAAACTGAATGACAATTTGGTCTGAAAAGAAGACAAAAAAATATAATGAAACACAGGCAAATAAGACAAACTTGAAGGCATCATTTAGTGTTCCAGAAAATTTCAACATCATAGACTCAGAGAAAGGACCTGAAAAGCTACACTGTATTTCTCTACTTCTAGAACATGTAAGGTCACCATGGAAAGTTAGCTGCCTACCATATTACTTTTAAGTTTTAAGGGGAGACCTTATGAACTAACTCGATTCTGGTGTCTCATAACTCAGAAAGCATTTTATCTTCAACATATAATTTCAAATTAATTTTAAATGGTAGAATTAATTTCCACACAAAAACAGTATCTAAATACTGCTCATCTATCAATTAAATTAGAAGAATAAGGCAAGTTTAAAGTCTTAAGTAAAACCTTTGTATGGTTTAAACTATAGGTAAATAAATTGAAAAAAAATCTTACCACTATTTAAAAAAATTTTTTTGTAGTTGTAAATGGACAGAATTCCTTTATTTTATTTGTTATGTGGTGCTGAGGATCAAACCTAGTGCCTCACGTGTGCTAGGCAACCGCTCTGCCACCAAGCCACACCCCAGCCCCTTATCACCAAGTTTTAAGTTAATCAACATGGATGTTTCTCAAAATAATTTAAGCTGAGTGAAGAAAGCCAGAACACCACCCCCCACCCCTGGACAAAAGTGGACAGGAAAACAGAGATAGGACAAAGGAATAACAAAGGGCATGAAAACATTTTAGGGGATAATATGCATATTTATTATCTTGATTGTGGTGATAGTTTCACAGATGTGTATTTTACATACACATCAAAATTTTAAATTGTACACTTTAAACATGTAGAGTTTATTATTTATCAATTATACCTTAATAATGATATTAAAAAGAAAATCTAACTATTAAAGAAAAATTATAAATACTAAAAAAATCACTCATAATCCTACCACCTCTACCATAGGCACTGTATTTCAGATTCAAAGGTGCAAAGTTTTCAAATTTTCACAACTCTAGGTTATGTTGTACGATGAGACTATTTCATGTAAGTGATACTGCAACAATATGTAGCCTTTTGTGTCTGCCTTCTTTCATTTAGTATAATATTTTTTAGGTTCATTTATGTTATAGCATGTATCAGTAGTTTATTCTTTTTTTATTTTATTTAGTTAGTTAGTATTGGGAATTGAACTCAGAATCAACATCCCAGAGGGATGACTGGCTACATGATCAAGAAAAAAGTCAATTTTATATTTACTTACTAGGAAAGTGATCTTTTATAAAATATAAGAAAAATTTTTATTATTTCATCATTATTATGACAACTATTTTTCAATGACAAAAATCATGAAAGACCCATCATTTATTTGCATACTAAGTGAAAAGTAAACTCTGTATCAGTTTCCTTTGAACCAGAAATCACACTTATAGGGATTTATCTGGAAGAAATAATTTAATAGGACCAAAAAGTTTATACACAAAAAAATTCCAAAGGAATCTATATAATAAAAACTAAAAATATGAATGTCTCTGAATAAAAAAAGGTTTAGTAAATTACAGCAAATAAAAATGATAAAATATACATCCATTAAAAAATAATTAGCAATGCTTTGTAATATGTGAAAGAAAGAATTCAAAAGTGTTACATGTAGCATAGATCAAAATAAATTTCAAGGGCTGGGATATAGCTCAGTTGGTAGAGTGCTTGCCTCACATGCACAAGGCCCTAGGTTCAACCCCAGTACCAAAATAAATAAATAAATAAATAAATTTCAAAATAAAATAAATGTTATATGACTTTATTAAAATAAATTGTGATAACTATAAACAGAATGAGATATTAATTAAAGATATGAATTAAGACTTCCTAGGCTCAAAGGAAAGATTTTGATTACCAAACATTTAAAGTTTCTATATGTAAAAGAAACCATGGTAAATTAAGTTACAATATAAATTTTAAAATATGGATAATATCAGAAAACATGTGAAAAAGATACCTATAATTCCTAATATACAAAGCAGCTTTTTTAAACATAAGAAAAATACACCAATGGGCAAAGTACATGAAGTGGTTCATGAAAGCAATGCTAAAGGTTAATAAAAACAAGAAACACTTAGTAATCAAATAAATGTAGCTTTAAATGACAATGTTATCATTTTACTCTTAAAATTAAACAATTCTTTAAAATGATAATGCCCATTCTGGCAAAGACATGTAAAACAATTTTTATTTACTACTAGAGGTGTGAATTGTTACAAACTTTTTGTACTCTTATATACCTGTGAAACCATCACCACAATCAAGAAAACAAATATTTTTATCTTACCTAATATTTCTCAGTCCTCTCTAATCATTCTTTCCCTATATTTCTGTCCCCAAATGACCATTAATCTGCTTTTCATCAATACAGATAACTCTATAGTTAAAGTATGTAGTCTCCTTTTGTCTGGTTTCTTCAGCATGATGCATTTGAGATTCATCCATGTTGTGTGTATCAATATTTCATTTCTTTTTATTGTGAGTAGTATTCCCTTTTTTTAATATTTATTTTTTAGTTATAGGTGGATACAATGTCTTTATTTTATTCTATGTGGTGCTGAGGATTGAACCCAGTGCCTCACGCATGCTAGGCAAGCGCTCTACCACTGAGCTACAGCCCCAGCCCCTAACAAGATAGATTTTTTTTAAATTTTTAGTTGTAGTTGGACACAATACCTTTATTTCACTTATTTATTTTTATGTGGTGCTGAGGATCGAATCCAGGGTCTCACAAGTGCAAGGTGAGCGCTTTACCACTGAGCCACAACCCCAGCCCCAAACCAAGACTTTATTTTTCTTTTTTTGGTGTTGGGGATTGAACCCAGGGTCTTGTGCATATGAGGCAAGCACTCTACCAACTGAGCTATATCCCCAGTCCAGTATTCCCTTGATAGATTTTTTTATTGTTGTTGTTATTTTCCTGTTTACCTATTGATGGAGATTTGGGTTGTTTCTGGTTTGGTGTTCTTCATTATCCACAAGTTTTGAGGTCCAGAGGAAAATGACTGCAAAGGTCTACATTTAACATCCCAGTATACCAACTGGTTCTAAGTATCAACTGCAAAGACATGTATACTAAAGATGTGAATATAAAGGATAAATTATAATGATACCTTTTCTATAATTTTTTCTTACCTTTTCATAAACTGTACTGTCTAGATAAGGGTAAATATGAAATGCTCCCCGAATCTTCTTCACACCTGGATACAGCAAGGGGAGCATATTAACATAAGCCACACCATGAAATGAAAGCTGACTTTCATCATCAGTCTAAAGGAATAAAAGAGAGAGTTGTTAATGCCAAAGAGTAATGTCGCATAAGGTGAGAAATTGACTCAGACGTGCAGACTCAGTTTTAGGAACAAACTCTACTACTTAGCTAGTTATGTATCTTTGGGCAAGGTATATAATATTTTGGGCTTCTGTTTGTTTAGCTTCAAAATTGGTTTAATAATACCATGATCTCTGAGATAATACATATCAGCAATATTAATAAATATGCTAGCTGAATCAATACATACTCAAATTAATTGATAATACATATATTCAACCAAAAAGTCAATTTTACCATGTTGTTTCTTAGGGGGAAAAAATGAGACCTTATTAAAAAACCTAACAAAGACTTAAAGGCATCAGCAGTTTTGGCTTCTAGCTTTTGTTCATAGAATTACAAGAAATAAAATGAGGCTTACAAATCATCTAGACCAATTATGACCAGTAGGCTTTTTAACTTATACCCAAATTTTCATCAATTGGTAGAGGTGTTTTAGCATTCTTTGAAGAGAAAAATTCTGTGTATGCATCTGGGTTCAAAAAAGTGCTTTGATCAATGAGCAATGTGTGCCATAGATAATTAAGGATGAAAACTATCTATCATATATTTGCAATACCTGATCTAAATTCTCACAGAAAAGATGAGGAACATGTAAATAAATATGTTTTAACGTCTTTTTTTTCTTTTTCTTTTTTTTTTTGGTACTAGGGATTGAACCACGGGTCACTTAACCAGTGAGCCACTTCCGCAGCCCTTTTTATATGCTTTTTGAAATTTTGAGACAGGGTCTTGCTAAGTTTTAGGGCCGCACTAAGTTGATGAGGTTGGATTCAACCTTACAATTCTCCTGCCTCAGGCTCCCAAATTGCTAGGATTATAGGCATGTGCCACTGTGCCCAGTTTTAACATTGTTTTATGGTTTGCTGTATAAATCCATTTTTTGAAAGAAATTTAATTCCAAGCTTAAAAGTAGTCTTTGATTTTGCCTCCTATAATAATAATAATTAGAAACTAGATTCGGAAGTTTTATGTTCATGTGATAACAGTATGTGGTTTAGAAATCTCAGGAAAGTTAGCCAATATATGTTATATAATAACAGGGGGAAATGGTGTTACAATGATAGTATTTTTACTATGCAAAAGCTTGTTTTTAAATCAACCACGTAATCTAGATACTTCTACATGACCCCTATCCTCACAGAGTTTATGACCAAGCAGGAAAGATCAGACATGTACAGATAAAACAGTATAGAACATGTTCTAGGCTCACCAAAGCTCTATCTTTTCAGAAGAGTAGCAAATCTATGAATGCTATTATGTTAATTATCAGTCTAAAACATTTTGATGGTGGGTCTAAAAGAAATTCAGAAAATATACTAGGTTGTATTTTGACTTCGAAAAATGGCCATTTCATATGGTTTGCTTATGGTAAAACTATGATAAAAGACTATGGGAAAATAGGATATCTGGAAATAAGGCCTGGGTGATTATTAGTAAACAACAAGCAACTACAATGGCAAATAATCCTGGGACAGAGGGGTTTCATGGGACATGAGACTTTCAGTCCTAAAACCAGGAAAGTCAGGAGAAGAACCACAGTCAGTTCATATTTTCTTTTGGTATCAGAATTAGAAACAGAAAAACAGGTTGAGTCTGAGCCAGCATTTCTTATATGAAGGGTTTCATTTGTTTGTTTACAATGAGGTCTTACTATGTTTCCCAAGTCAAATCCTGAGCTAAAGTGATCCTTCCACTTCAGCCTATCAGATGCTGAGATCACATAAACCAGCCACTGCACCTGACTTTATAAATATTTCTGAGTGCACATATTTACCTTTTCAGTTTTTCCAGCTTTCCCTTTGGGTGCAATAACCAGAGGAACTCTTATCATCTCTACAGGCCAAAGCCAGCAATCAACAATTCGCTTCTGAAAACTGTAAATAAAAAATCAGTCCATTAGCATTATGTGCAAAAATGGGGTTAGTATAGTTTAGAATCAAGGTAAATAGTCTTCTCTTCTAAAAAGTAATGGAATGCACATAAATAAAAACTTGTATTAGGTTGGTGATTTTTTCCCCTAATCTACACAATTCCATAAAAATAATTTTACTCGACTGCCAGCACATTTTTGAGAGCAATTTTGCAAAATAATCAAAGGCTTTTACAATGTCAAATCTTTTTTTTCAGAGACAGTTTAATTTAGTAAAATAGATATGCATATTAATACAGATATAAGACATATATAATCAGTTACTTTAAATTTCTTATTTGATAATTCCAAAATCTATCTCAGGATAGTTCTTAGGCTACCTTTATCTCTTCAAACTATTTTTTCATCACTTCTAGCCTTCTTTCTAATATTTTAATTGGAACCTAGATATTATGTATTGGGTAATAGGAACTGAGGTAATTAGGGTTTTTAGTGTGAAGTTTTATCTTAATATAGTTAGGAGCTGGGATATATTTAATGTTTATTATTCTAAGTGCCAGAACTTGAGGTTCATTTCTTTGTTTTGGGGGGTGGCTATTGGGGATTGAACTCAGGGGCACTCGACCACTGAGCCACATCCCCAGTCCTATTTTGTATTTTATTTAGAGACAGGATCTCAAAGAGTTGTTTCATGCCTTGCCACCAACTCTCTAGGTGGTGAGCAGAGGACAAAGGAAGAAACCATTTTGCAGCTTCGGGGCAGGGTCCAGTAACTAAGAAAGCTGTTTCCTGGCAAACATGAGTTTGTCCCAAAATACAGACCCAGTAAACACATACTGCACAACATTGTGTGCGCTTAAGTGACCAGAAGAAAATCCAATGTGGAGAGAGGTTTACACAAGGGACAACTGGTCGTGGAAACCCACCTGGCTCTACCCCGCCCCCTCCAATCCAACTGCTTGCAAGGACTGGCTGAGAGAGATGTCAGAACTCGAAAGGATAGTAGTGGGAGACATTGTTTGGAAACTGAACTCAAGACCAGGAAACGTGGGGTCTGCAGGTGTCGTAGAGGAGTAAGAATTGGCTCCCCCACCACACTAGTGAAACCCAGGAGTGCCCTGGTATAAAGTCCTCCTACCTGGACCAGCAAGTACTGGGCCCTGGAGGTGTGCAGATTTAAAACCTCAGACCAACTGGCATTCAGCAAAGAGCCTGGAGCCAACATATGCCTAAACCCTGCCTCCAGGAATTCTGCTTAAGGGTTGCTGACTCACTCCAACAATCCAGAGGGTGGAGCATCACACTCCAGGAGACCACACCTAAAACTGCTGAGAAGAGAATTTTAAGCTTCAATGGCAAGAATTCTTTAACTTTTCATTGCATTTTTTAAAATTATTATTCTTTTTCACTGTTTAATTGTGACCTTAATGGTACATGGATATTTATATAGTTTCCTATTTTTTTCTTCTCATCTTTAGCATTTTTGAAGCCAATTATTTTACATGTATTAGTTTTTTTGTTAACTAGGATGTTTGATTAGTATATTTTAGTTTTGTATTCTTTTATTTTTTTTAGTTAAATTTATGTGTATTTTTTTTCTACCTGCTTCCATTAATTCTCTCTTTTCTTGTACTAACAGCCAATTCCTCATTCTTCTTTCACTCTTCTTTAATATTTTACTTCTATCTTCTCTCCTCCTCCCTCATAATCATCACATCTTATATTACTTCTGTTCTTTCCCTGTCAACCATTTGAAAATGTAAAACTCTTTTTCAAACTTGCTATTCTTATTATAGGCATTACTGATCATATAATTTCTGTTTACTGTGATAATTGACACTGCAGACACCATAGTAGGAACTATTTGGTTTAATGCTGTAAATTGTTTGCATTGGTTGTTGTTATTATTTGTCTCCCCCTAACAGTGAGGTACTAGAAACCTTCAGGGACACTATAAACACAACGGATAGAAACTATTGCTTCAGGTCCATACTGTTAGATGAGCAGACATGAAAAAGCAAGGAAACAGGGGCTGGGGCTGTAGCTCAGTGGTAGAGCACTTGCCTTGTATGTGTGAAGTACTGGGTTCAATCTTCAGTACCAGATAAAAATAAATAAATAAAGGTATTGTACCAATTACAACTAAAAATATTAAAAAAAAAAAAAAAGCAAGGGAACAAATTGCTCCAAGCAAACCAAGATACTCCAAAGACAGAATCCATCGATACCATAGTAGAAGAAATGTCAGAGAAGGAGTTTAGAATGTACTTAGTTAAACTGATCTATGAAGTAAAGGATAATGTAAGAGAGCAAACACAGGCAGCAAAAGATCACTTCAATAAAGAGATAGAGATTCTGGGGAAAAAAGAAACAAACAGAAAGCCTTGAAATGAAGGAAACAATAAACCAAATTAAAAATTCAGTAGAAAGCATCACCAACAGACTAGACCACCTGGAAGACAGAACCTCAGGCAATGAAGACAAAATATATAATCTTGAAAATAGAGTTGACCATAGAGAGAAGATGTTAAGAAACCATCAACAGAACTTCTAAGAATTATGGGATAACATGAAAAGACCAAATTTAAGATTTATTGGGATAGATTAATGGCAAGTAGATACAAACCAAAGGAATGCACAATCTTTTCAATGAAATAATATTAGAAAATTTCCCAATGCTAAAGAATGAAATGGAAAATCAAATACAAGAGGCTTACAGGTTTCCCAAATGTGCAAAATTACAAAAGACCTACATCAAGTCGTATTACAATGAAAATGCCTAACATACAGAATAAGGATAAAATTTTAAAGGCTGCAAGAGAAAAATATCAGATTACATAGAGGGGAAACCAATTCAGATCTCAGCTCATTTCTCAATCCAAACCCTCAATGCCAGGAGGTCCGGAAATAATATATACCAAGCTCTAAAAGAAAATGGATGCCAACCAAGAATCCTACATCCAGCAAAATTAAGCTTCAGATTTGAAGACAAAATAAAAGCCTTCCATGATAAACAAAAATTAAAAGAATTTGCAACCAGAAAGCCTGCACTTCAGAATATTCTCAAGAAAATATTCTATGAAGATGAAATTAATAAAAGTGAAAAACAGCAAGGGGAGGAACTACACTAAAGGAATAGTCAATCCAAAGGAGAAACAAATTCAAATTAAAAACTAGAAATAAACCTAAATGACTGGGAACACAAATCATATCTCAATAATAACCTTGAACATAAATGGCCTAAACTCATCAAAATACATAGATTAGGGCTGGGGTTGTAGCCAGTGATAGAGCACCTACTTCATATTCATGAGGCCCTGGGTTTGATTCTCAGCACTACATAAAAATAAAGATATTGTATAATTTTTTAAAAAGACATAGACTGGCAGATTGGATTAAAAATAAGACCTAAAAATATGCTGTCTCCAAGAGTCTCACCTCATAGACAAAGACATCCAAAGACTGAAGGTGAAAGAATGGGCAAAAACATATCATTCACATGGATGGTATAAACAAGTAAGGTTTTTTTTAAAATGTTTATTTTTTAGTTGTAGGAAGACACAGTACTTTTATTTCACTTATTTATTTTTATGTGAGACTGAGGCTCGAACCCAGGGTCTCGCACACGCGAGGCGAGCGCTCTACCACTGAGCCACAACCCCAGCCCTATGACAAGTAATGGTTTTGATCCTTTAAAATAGACCAAGTTTATGTAAGCTACATAATTGTAATTATACAATTGTTGTATTATCTTAACAAAGGAAACAATAAAACAAATTAAAATTCAGTAGAAAGCATCAGACTAGACCGACAGATTAGACCACTTGGAAGAAAGAACTTAATACATTTTTACTATCTGTAGAGTTGTTTTGTTTTGTTTTGTACCAGGGATTGAACTCAGGGGCACTCAACCACTGAGCCACATCCGCAGCCCAATTTTGTATTTTATTAGAGACACTGGGTCTCACTGGGTTGCTTAGTGCCTCCGCATTGCTGAGGCTGGCTTTGAACTTGTGACCCTCCGCCTCAGCCTTCCGAGCCATTGGGATCTGCAGGATTGTTTTGATAGCTCCCTTTCCAATGATATTTTTCTTGATTATACTTGTTAGAATTTTATCAACTTTTAGTAGTATTATTTCTTTTCTATTTCACAAATTCCTGCTCCTCCTCTTATTTTTTCTTTCCTACAATTTAATTTGAAAATATGACTGTTATCTAGCTTCTTTCTCTAGCTTCTTTCTGTTACAAATACTTTAAAAGTTATAAGTGTATATCTGAGTACGATTTTGTTCCAGAGATTCTGATATTTTAAGCTTTTATTATCATTTAGTTCAAAACACTTTTTATTTAATTTTCATGGGCTTTCTTCTTTTATGTCATAGATATTTATAAGTGTGCCATTTAATTTTGAAGTAGCTAAGTCATGGGGATGGGATTCTATATATATATATATATATATTAAGGTGATTGATTTCTTTTTTTTTTTTTTTTTTTTTTTTTAATTTTATTTTTTTTCGTATTTATTTTTTAGTTCTCGGCAGACACAACATCTTTGTTTGTATGTGGTCCTGAGGATCCAACCCGGGCCGCACGCATGCCAGGCGAGCGCGCTACCGCTCGAGCCACATCCCCAGCCCCAAGGTGATTGATTTCTAATGTAAAACACAGTCTACAGGAAAAACAGTCTGCATGATTTCAAATAAAAAGAAACAAGCAAACAAACCAGAGATAGAAAAAAAACACCCATACCTAAAAAAGGGATAAGAATTACATTGAACTTCTCTTCAGAAACTATGCAACGAAAGAAGTGAAGAAAAATATTTTAAGTATTGAGAGAAAAAAAAGCCACCAATTTTTTAAAGGGCAAAGATGCTCATTCAGATTATAGATATATTGATAAACCTCTATTTTTCATCTCTCCCTAAATACTAGATTACTGACAGAAAATAAGAGTTACTTACACAATATCAAGTGTCCTATTCTTTGGTAATTAAACCCTGAATTAGTTTGGGTGACAATATATCCAAAAAAAAAACAAAAAAAACAACTTATTTTCTAGCCTTTCTTGCATCTAGAGATGGTCAAAGAAATGTAAACAGAGGTTACTAGGTTCCAAGAAAGTTCTATAAAGAGGACTAAGAAGGACCTCCTTATAGAACCTCCTTAAAATCCTGTGGCTTTTCCCCTCTTCCAACTTTCTGCCAGGAACATAAATGTGCAAGCTGAAACTCTAGCAGTATCTTAGACCATAAGACAAACTTTTAGATGGAAGGCACATATTAAAGAAGGTAAAGCAAAAAGAAAGATTAAGCCTAGATTTCTGATAACACTGTGCAGCCACCACAGTCCAATTCTGGATTTCTTTTATATGAAAGAGAAATAAACATACATCTTGGTTAAGCCATCATCAAGAGGTACATCTGTTATTAGCAGAAGAACACAAAGTTTAACTATTTACAGATATGAGCAAGAAAAAGTCTCAAATCATCTTAACTCAAATGTAAGTAAAATCAACACAAGTAACTGTCTTCCCACCTATGATCTTTCTCTTCCTACCTGACAACTGCAGGAGGATCAAGGTAACAGCGACTTTCCAAGTCCCAAATAATCCTTTTCTTTGTGTACTCTGCTTGGTTCCTAAATTCTCTGTCCTATAAAATAATAAGAATAATTTTATTCCATATGTGTCACATTTTCATCCTACTCAATCTGTGGGGCATTCTTGTAATGGATTTGATTGCAATATTTTATTACTACCACTCTAACTACTATGAAGTATGACCACTATTGTAGCTACTACCACCACCTTAAATTTTTCAGGTATTTTACTAATAGAGAAGGTAAGGTATATTACTTACATAATCTATACATCAGTCCAGTACTAAGTGCAAAATATTTATTCACATCACCTCAATTAGTGATCCTTAAGCAGGGATGTATATTAAAATCCTGTGGAAGCTGGATGAGATTTTTTTTTTTTTTTTTTTTTTGGTACCAGGGATTAAATTCAGGGGCACTTAACCACTGAGCCACATCCCCAGTCATTTTTCTATTTTATTTAGAGACAAGGTCTTGCTGAGTTGCTTAGGGCCTCACCAAGTTGTTGAAGCTGGCATTGCATTCCTCCTACCTCAGCTTCCCAAGTCACTGGGATTATGGGCTATGCCACCTGGCATAACCCATCTGGTTTAAGGCTTGGCCATTTCCATAGTTTTAAAGGTTTCAAGTGATTCTAATGTGCAATCAGGGTTGAAAACTAGTGATCTAAATTAAAACATAATATAAAATCTAAAGATCTAAAATAATAGAGCTGATCTAAATTGGGTGCGATGGCACCTACCTATAATCCAGAAACTCAGGAGGCTGAGGCAGGAGGATCAAGAGTTCAAAGCCAGCCTCAGCAACCCTAAGCAACTCAGTGAGACCCTATCTCTAATAAAATATAAAGAGGGCTGGGGATGTGGCTCAGTGGTTGCATGCCCCTGGGTTCAATCCCTGGTAATAAATAAATAAGAGAGTTGATCTAAATTAAAATATAAATCTAAGGAAAATATAAACTTTCACCTACCACAATGATAAGAAAAGATACTGCACAATATTTTTAAAATACTGCTAGTTTTATCAGTATTGTTGTAAATATTTACAGTCAGGTAATAAAAATAATTTCAACCATCCTCATTTTACAACTTGTACTATTGAATAATTCCCCTAATGATTATCAGCTAGTAAAAGAAACATTTGCAAATGTATTTACACTATTTTCTATGCCACTGAGAAATTATGTGTTGTAATAAAATAGGTTTTAAAAAGAAAGAATAATTTCAAAAACCTGAATGTTCACTAATAAGAAACTAAATAAATTAAACTATGTCCAAACAATGTCATAACATAATGCAAGTTCATAAAAGAAAGAAAAATAATGAAATGCTCATTATGTAGAGATATAAAAAAAAAGTTCAAGATAAAGTGAAACAAAGCAACCTGCATAATGGTGTAACTGTGCATACCTTTACATATGTGTAAACAAATGATGGGGAAGCAGCACAGGTACGTGTGTATTAGTGTATGAGCATGTATGAGGCAAGAGTTATATTCCCCCTATTCTCAATATGAGTAAGCACTTCCTACCCCCAGTTTAAAAAAACAGAAACACTTCATATCCTAAGAAATAATAGCAGTGTCTTCCTGACTATGAATACTTCCAGTGAATCTGGATTTACTAAAGAAAAACAATTTCATCCCTTTCACTGTGCCAATCTCTGAGGATGTTTCATGACCATTTTAAATCTGATAAACAGTGAAAAAACTGGAGTTTTTCATCATGAACAGACTGTAACTGTGGCGACCCTAGTAATTTTGTGATGTTCCCTTTTAAGTACTTATTATTTTTTACCTGGTGAGCCAGTCCTTCTGAAATCTGACTCCCTTTTATTCTATGTAAGGAAAATTTCCCCTTAATTTTCTAAATGCTTCTGTCTTTAATCTTCCTTTGACCATTTGTATATTTGCTTTAATTTATTTTTTTTTAATATTTATTTTTTAGTTATAGGTGGATACAATATCTTTATTTTTATGTGGTGCTGAGGATCAAACCCAGTGTCTCACGCATGCTAGGCAAGTGCTCTACCTCTGAGCCACAACCCCAACCCAGCCACAACCCCAACCCTATTTGCTTTTATATGTATAAAAAGTATCTGGAAAGAAACACAAGAAACTGTAATAGAGGTGACTAACTAGGTAATGGGATAGGAGAAGGGTTTAGGAGAAGAGATAGACTAGGAGGGAGATTTTCACTGTATATAGCTGAATTTTTTATTTTAAACTGTGACTGAATTATTATCTATTCAAAAAACAAAGAGTAAATTTGACATAAATTACTTACTAGACTTAAGAAATCAAACTGGGCACAGTGGCATACACCTGTGATCTCAGCTACTCAAAGGCTGAGGATCACAAGTTCAGGACCAGCCTGAGCAACTCACTGAGACCCTGTCTCAAAATAAAACATAAAAAAAGGGTTGGGGCTATAGCTCAGTGGTAGAGTGCCCTGAGTTCAATCACCAGCATCCCCCCACACATAGACATTAAAGGGACATTCCCATCAGAATTAGATAGTTAAGTGTTTTGATATATAATTCTTTTATTTTGATAAGTGACAGATGCACATAAACTAGTGATTCGAAAATGCCCTGAGTTTATCACAAAAACCTGTTCACTTTCACCTCAGGGTGGTTGAGTTCTCCTTCTTCTTCCTCATAGGGACCACCAACAATGTACGCATCAGGAATATTATTAGCTCCTGGAGCCAGAATGTTGGGAATAGGCCATTTTTTGGGTCGGGGAAAAGTTTCTCTTTCCCCTCCAAGCTTCAGTGTTCCATTCTTGAATAAAATGGGATAGTCCTTCTATAGAATAAATACAACAATGAGAAAAAAGTGTAAAAAACTTTGAAAAGGACAAAGTGATTACGGGAATGTCTATTACAAAACATATCTTTTCATGATTATCTGATTCTGTGTAGGGGTATGGCGTGCCCTTCATTGTCTTTATGCCATTTTACTTTTTATAAAATTGTTGATAATGCAAATTATTCTTGTCTATAGTTACGCAAATATACATTTTGTCTAGTGGCAATGTAATTGGTTAATACCCTAGGACTAATAAGTTTTGAATTATTAGAAAAGTTATTTCAGCATTCCTGATACCTACTCATAGGTCACTTCTTCCCATTCTACGGATTCCCTTACTAATTAGTTAAATAAAATCTTTGATAAGACTGTCATTTTGTATATGAGGCAATTACATTTGTTTAAAAATTATCCTTTGAAAAAACAAAATCTGATGATTTTATAGGCATTTATTTTCATATCCCTTAATTTATCTAAAGCTTATTTGCAATGGAAATTAGCAAAAGATAAGAATAGTCAATCTATAGAAAAGCAAATTGAAAAATCCAACATTTAAAAATAAATAAGCTTTGTATAATTAATAATCAGTGAAGCTGGGTGTAGTGGTGCACGCCTGTAATCCCTGTAACTCTGGAGGCTGAGGCAGGAGGATCACAAGTTCAAGGCTAGCTGCAGCAACTTAGCAAGGCCCTACCTCAAAACAAAAAATAAAAAGAGTTGGATATGTGACTCAGTGGTTGAGTGCCCCTGGGTTCAATCCCCAGTACCAAAAATAAATTAATTAATTAATCAGTGAAATGTATATTAAAGCAACGAAATACCACAGATTGGCAAAAGCAAAGTCTAAAAATATCAAGTGTTGACAAAATTATGAATTGAAATAGTATTATACGTTGTTGATGAGGAATGTAAATTGGTACAAGTATGGAAAGTAATTTTGCAGCCTCTAATAAAATTTAAAATCTACATATGAGAGGGCTGGGGTTGTAGCTCAGTGGTAGAGTGCTTGCCTAGCATGTGTGAGGCCCTGGGTTCGATCCTCAGCACCACATAAAAATGAATAAGTAAAATAAAGGTATTATGTCCAACTACAACTAAAAAATAAACATTTTTTTTAAAAAATCTACATATGAGAAATTTAATAATTCTATTTCTTTGGGTTAAACTTAAAAATCTTTTATAAAAGTCTGGCACTTACAGAATAGCAGGATAAGGGCCTTTGAAAATCTGTTACTTCATAACAATAAGAATGCTGACAAAAATTGTCAAAATTAAGGGTGCCAATGGTGATGGAAAAACTGGATAGTCACATGAAAAAGAATAATATTGTGCCATTACCTAACACAATATACAAAAATTAACTCATACCTAGTTCTTACATTTAGAAATTTGGCTTAAGAAAATAACCTGGAATTAAGAGAAAGCTCTGTATAATAAAATACACTGTATAAAACCCACAAAATACATGCATAACAATAACACATACTGAAATTTTTAAATATCTTGCATATATTCTACAATAAGCATATGCTATTAATAAAAATTATATGTAATAAATACAATGACCATGTTAATTATAAATATAAAAATATGTATATAAACAGAAATAAACTTTATTTTTAAGTCTAACATAAATCTCAGAAATTAATAAAATAATGTTTTGAATTAACGCTTAGTTGATGCGAATCTCAGCCATATGAGTGTAGACACATTTGATGCTATATAAATGTCTGGTGATAGGGCTTTACCTCTCCAAGTGATGGAACCTGCAGACCAACCATGTAGTTCTGCTGAGTCCCTGTTGGAACGAAGGATTCAGGCACAGAGTAGGCACCCTCCAACGTGACCTTCAGTAGATTGCTCCCCAAGACCTGTGCTGCAGTCAGTAAGGGCTCTGCCACAGATACTTTAACTTCAAGACTGCATTGCTATAAAAGAATAAAATTAGGGCTGGGTTTGAAGCTCAGTGGTAGAGAGCTTGCCTACAATGCATGAGGCCCTGGGTTTGACCCTCAGCACCATAAAAAATAAAAGAATAAAATTATGTAGCATTTAAAAAATTTTTGCCATTGGCTTTCCTTTTTTCCCCATTATCTCATATCACTGTTAAGCTTAATTAACAGGATTTTATTAATTAATTTGTTAATTAAAAATAGTAATATTTTCTATATCTCTAACATTTTCACACAGAATATAATACGAAGTAGGTTTAAAATATGTGTTGATTGATAATTAGATGTTTTCACTTTACTACAGCACTAGGGATATAAAGATGAAGATAGTGTTTCTTTCATCATGAAACTCGTATTAAGAGACCTATATACAAAATGCTCTAGTTGAGAAGCACCAAGGAAGATATGAATAATTGATTAATGAGCTAGGGAGGAATTAGAGATGACATCTGAGTTGAAACTTTTTCTTTTAACTCTTTTTAAAATTTTTAATTGTAGATGGACATAACACCTTTATTTTTATTTATTTTTATATGGTACTGAGGATTGAACCCAGGGCCTCAATGTGCTAGGCAAACAATCACTAAGCTACAGCCCCAGCCCCCCTGAGTTGACTTTTAAAGGATGAATACCAGTTTGCAACCTAGATAAGTAAAGATATAAAAATAAAACAATTCTGGATCAAAAGAAGAGTTGATGCAAAAGGAGACTGAAACAGTATGGTGTATTCCATTCACCTGTGTAAGAAGTAGTTCAGGATTTAGAACATAAAATACAAGGACAGGAGTGCTGGGAGATATGGTTGAAATAGTGGAAAGTTCCCATTACAAAGATGTCATATGGCCACTAAGGCATCTGGATCTAAACCTGTACACAGTTTAGACTGTACACACTGTAGAGTGGTGAACCCATGAACCACACCATATACTAAGAAGGGTAAGATAAGAGATGTGATCAAATTCATTGTGGTGTGTGTGTGTGTGTGTATGTGTGTGTTCCTGGGGATTAAACCAAGGGCCTTGTACATGCTAGGCAAGTGCTCTACCACTGAGCTACATGTCCAGTCACCATCAAATTCACTTAAAAATTTTTTTTTTTTAGTTTTTATAGTTGGTATTTTGATATTTTTATTTTACTTATTTATTTTTATGTGGTGCCAAGGATTGAACCCAGCGCCTCGCATGTGCTAGGCAAGCGCTCTACCACTGAGCCACAACCCCAGCCCCTCAAATTCACTTTGAAGTCACTGTGCAAGCAGTAGGAAGGGTGAACTGGAGAAAGGAAAAGGCAGATACAAGATTATTGATAATGATTCAGATAAGAGATGATGGGGCAATAACAAGCAGGAGTGATTCCAGGAAGAATATGAAGAAATTTAGGAGATGGAAAGGGCTGGATTTAGTGAAAGGTGAATTTGGAAACTGGTTGAGGTTGGGATCTGAGGAATGTGACAGATTCTGGACTCTGATTTCACAGCTAGGTGATGCCACCAGTCAAAAGAACTAAGAAAAAAGGAAGAGTACGTTTTAGGAAAGATACTGAGTTTAGACTTGTAATGTTGAATTTTAGGTGCCTATGGGGTAACATTAGAGAGAAATATAGCAGGTGGCTGTAAAGTATGAATTCTACAATTCACGACAGGGATCTGGGATAGAACTGCTGAATTAGAAATCTTTAGCCAGAGTCTGGCTACATGTCTTTAAGTGTGCTATGTGCTTTCATATACTATTGATTCATCAGCACACAGCTCAGAAGAATTTCCATAGCTAAGCCTTTCTTATATCTACTCCTGGGCAAAACCAACAATATCTGCTCTGTGCCCACATGTCCCCCCACCACCATTTCATCACACTGGGTTATATCCATAGATTGTGAGCTCTTAGAAGGTAGGATTTATTCATCTGTTTTCTAGAACCTAGCATTATTGTGCTGTGGGGAAAATAAAAAAGGTGACCAATGAATTGGACTCAACTGAATTGAACCTTATAAGCAGACAGACTCATTATAATATTGAATGGAAGGCTGAAATGTTAAAGAGTTAAAACTGATTACCTTAGAGCCTGGTCGAGGGGTTTCTAAGGGTGAGCCCTGCACAGGATGCAAAGGAACCACCATTTCAAATGAACTCTCTCCTGTGAAAGGAAGACAAGTTGAGCCAAAGAAGGAAGAGTTAAATTAGTGTTGCAGACAGAAATAAATGTGCTCATATTTTTCTTAAATCCTCCAAATTCATTTAGGCTGTGTTTTGCAACACTTTGCATCTAAATATGCACTTTCATATTTCTGCTTTTGAGAAAATCATATATCTGACCTTCCAGTAAGGGAAGAAGATCCACCACAGCTTGACCTAATATTAAGTTCTTCTCATCTTTCTGTTTCTTTTCCTTTTGTAAAATTTCAGTCACAGTTACTAAAAAATCAAAGCAAATAAAATGAGAACAACTCTAATCACCCATCAGATAACCAAGTAAAGCAAATAAATTTAAGTTAAGGAAAATTAACTTGGGCTGGGAACATAGCTCAGTAGCAGAGTACTTGTCCAGCATGGGCAGGCCCTAGGATTCATCCTAGCACAGAAAAAAACAAAAACGAACAAACAAAAACTGTGTAACCCAAGAAAGCACTAACATCAGTGACTTCCAATGCAAAGTACTAAACAAATTCAGTAATTTTTGAGCTTTTTGCCTACAAGTTATAATAAGAAATGGATTTTATAACATAATCATGCATATACATATGTTTAAAGGTAACCGATATATGTGACTATCTGATGCCAAAATTTCATATAATATTAACCCTTACTACTCAAAAACCTTAAGTACTTTCTGTAGGATAAAAGATCAGTGATTATGATCCCCCCTAAATTGAATTATTTTAGGATAACTAAATTTAAAATCTGAAGTTTGAAAAGCATTAGATCTTTCCATCTTGCCTAGGACAGGGCTTAGGAGACTTTGACAGGATCCCCACGGCACACAAGGATGTACCAGAATTTTCACTAGAGCATTACTTGGTATGCTTAACACTTAATGATGAAATTTTCAAATACACTAAAAAGTGGAATAGCATAATGAATATCCATACAACCATCACCTAAATTTAGTAATTGTTAGAAAGTTGTCATATTTGCTTCCTTATATATGATTTTGTTTGCCAAAATACTTTCATCATATTTGCCTTGCTTGATGAAATAGCTTCGAATAAATTATATGCATTTTACTCCTAAATACTAATGTATACAAAGCCACAACATGACATTTTCCTACAAAACTGAAATACTTTGAGCTGGGGTTGTGGCTCAGTGGTACAGCACTTGCCTGGCATGTGTGAGGCCCTAGGGGTTTGATCCTCAGCACCACATAAAAATAAATAAAATAAAGGTATTAAAAAATGAAATACTTTTATCACATCTAGCAAATATTTGATAAAATATTAAACATGATTCCTAAAATTCATCTAATGTCCAGTCTATATTTAGCATTTCCCAATTCCCCCAAATTTATTTTGTAGCTAGTTTGATCAAACCAGGATCCAATCAAAGACCACATGGTTACATTTGGTTGTCAAGTTTCTTAAGTTTCTTTTCATTTAAAAAATTCCTGCTTTCCACATACTTTTCTCCTATGACATTGGCTTGTTGAAGGCACTAGGCCAGTAGTTAAAGAGAACATCACACTGTCTGAATTTATCTTTTTTCTTCATGGTATTTGTTTTCAATTACTGTGTTTCCTAGAAACTTAGGTTCAGCTTCAGCATTTTCAGCAAAAATAATATGAGTTGGACAACATATTTGTCTATATAGTATACTAACAAACTGTGACCTTTATAACCCGATAGAAATGGCATCTAAACATAATTGTGTTTCTCTCATTAAAGTGAGACTAAATATTTTTCACATTTTTAAGGACCAGATATGTTTTCTTTACTGTGTAGTTTTCAATGTTTTGTGTTTTTCTATTAGAGTCTTGCTGATATTCTTTTTTTTTTTTAATTTATTTTTTAGGTGTAGATGGACACAACACAATGCCTTTATTTTTATGTGGTGCTGAGGATTGAACCCGGGTCCCGCCCATGCTAGGTGAGTGTTCTACCGCTAAACCACAATCCCAGCCCCTTGCTGATATTCTTACTGATATAAAGGGAAATGTGCCTTTTGTCAAGAAATTAATTATAAATTGCATCCCATTTTATGGCCTGTATTTTATAGTTACTTATGTAAACTGCCCTTTCTTCCACCCTGTGGCTGCAATAGTTATAAAATACTTAAAAATGCTTTGCCACTCTGATTTATTTTTTCAACTCCATGATTTCTTATAGTACCTGCATACTTTAATTTTTCACACATTTTGTCCATCTGTAAATTTTTGGGGCATAATTTAAAAAAAAATTTTTTTTGATACCTGGGATTGAACTCAGGGATACTCGACCACTGAGCCACATCTCCAGCCCTATTTTGTATTTTATTTAGAGACAGGGTCTCACTGAGCTGCTTAGCGCCTCGCAGTTGCTGAGGCTGGCTCTGAACTTGCTCTTCTCCTTTCTCAGCCTACTAAGCCACTGGGATTACTGCTGTGCGCCACCATACCCAGCTGCATATTTTGGCATAATTTTGAGATTAGTTACATTTGTTTTCCAGATATCCCAGCACTGTTCATTACTTAATCCATCTTTTCTCCCTATGGGAATGTAGCTAGCTCGACAGTGAAGTGCTTGCCTGGCATGTGTGAGGCCCTGCATCACAAAAAGAGAGTGACAGATCTTTCCCCCCACTGATTTGACATATTATCTGAATCATATGTTAATTTACCAGAAGTACTAGTGACTACATCTGGATATTCCAGTCTGTTCCAGTGAGCTTTATGACTACACATGCCTGCGACTACAATGTTCCATTTTGTTTGTATATTACATTCTATCATATAGAACTAATAACTCGTTACCCTTCTTTTCAGAATTTCCTGATCATTCTTACATCAAGAATCTTTTTTTGGGGGTGGCTGGGGATGTGGTTCAAGCGGTAGCACGCTCGCCTGGCATGCCTGCTGCCAGGGTTCGATCCTCAGCACCACATACAAAGAAAGATGTTGTGTCTGCCGAAAAACTAAAAATAAATATTAAAATTCATTCTCTCTCTCTTTAAAAAAAAAAAAAAAGAATCTTTTTTTCTATAAGAACTCTCAAAAGGGGCTGAGATTGTAGCTCAGTGGTAGAGCTCTTGCCTAGCAAGTGTGAGGCATTGGGTTCAATTCTCAGTACCACATATAAATAAATTAAAAATAAAGGTCCATTGACAACTATAAAAAATTTTTTAAAAAAGAACTCTAAAATTAAAAATAAAATAGGGCTGGTAGAATGGTAGAGTGTTTGTCTAGCATATGCAAGGCCTTGGGTTTAATACCCATCTCTGGGAAAAAAAAATGTTGGCAGTCTTACAAAGATCACAATAAATTTATAAACAGGGAAATGGCATCTTTATAAGGTTGAGCATTCCTAAGAACAGTATGTCTTTCTTTTTATTCAAACTTGTACTTCAACACCATTTTCTTTAGTTTGTTTGAATCAAGTTCCATTTGTCTACAACTTTGATTAGCTGATGTCTCTTAGTTTCTTACTCAATAAATTCTACCTCTTTTTAATTTTTTTCCCCATTTCCATTTTCCAAAATGTTGTCCATTAATCTAAGTTTTCCAAAGTAATGGCAGAATATCCTTTTATAATTTAAAAAATGACATTCTTCTTGTAGTTATGGTCCATTTTCTTCCTAATATCATTGTGTCACTTCATTCTCTTTCCTCCCCTTTTCACCCCCTCCCTCCTTCTTCTATGGCTCAATCTTGCCTATTTGTTAGTAATTAAGGTTAGTCTTTTTAAGAAGCATTTTTGTTTAGTAATTCTTGTTTTCCATTTCATTATTTCTTATTTTTTAATCTTAATTTTAAGATACTTTCTTTGGGTTACCCTATTATTATTCTAGCTTCTTGAATTAAATGTTTAAGTCATTTGTTTTCAATCTTCTTATGGTTGTTAAGCACATCAATTTATTTTATATACTTTTTGGTACCAGGGATTGAACTCAGGGGAACTGGACCACTGAGCCACATCCCCAGCCCTATTTTGTATTTTTTTTTTAGAGACAGGGTCTCACTGAGTTGCTTAGTGCCTCACCATTGCCGAGGCTGCCTTTGAATTCGTGATTTTCCTGTCTCAGACTCCTGAGCCAATGGGATTACAAGTGTGTGCCACCATGCCTGGCTAAGCCCATCAATTTATTAAAGATGGATTTTTAATATGTCACAAATGGCTGGGGATGTAGCTCACTTGTAGCACATGTGCTTAGTATGCATGAGGCCCTGGGTTTGATCCCCTGAACTGCAAAAAATAAAATAGATTATAACTTAAAAATTTTGTGACCATTTTTGTATATACAAGAGCTCAAAAATTAGGTCCTCTTTCACTATCTGAGAAGACTTAGGCATTGTTATCAAACTCCCATTAACAAAGAGGAAGCTTCCTTTTATACAGTTTTATCCTTGTTCAAGGTAAGCCATTCTGTTAGGTGTGCAGTAATAACCTATTGTGGTTTTGATTCACATTTCTCTAGTGGCTAGTGATGCTGAATTATCTTTTTTGCAAAACTGAGGATTGAACCCAGGGGTGCTTTAGCACTGAACTACCTCCCTAGCCCTTTTTGTTTTTCATTTTCACTAAGTCGCTGGCCACAAACTTGCAGTCCTCCTGCCTCAGCCTGTCACTGGAATTACAGGAGAGCGCCACTGTCTGGTGATAGATGTTGAATATCTTCATGTGTTAAATTGCCATCTGTTTATCTTTGGTGAAATGTCTCATGTCTTTTGCCTATTTTCTGGCTGGTTTGTTTGGGTTGTGATTGTTTTGTGTCACTGTTGACTTTTTAAAATTCTAGATATTCCTGTTTTGTGCTTTGCAAATACTTCCTCTCACTCTGCAGCCTGTCCTCCTAACAATGTCTTTTGAAGAGCAAGAGTTTTTAATTATGACAAAGTCCAATTCTTCCTCTTTTTTTTCCTTTTATGGATAATGATTTGTTCTTCAGTCTAAGAATGCTTTGTTTTACCGTATATCCTGATTTTTCTCCTAAGATTTTTTTTCTTAAAGTTCTGTAGCTTTACATTTAATTCTGTGACCTATCTTAAAGCTAGTTATTGTGTCAGATGTGAGACATATTGAGGTTCATTTCTTTACCTATAGATGTCCAATGGCCCCAGCATCATTTTCTACAATTAATTGGGTTTGCACTTTCATTTAAAAACAATCAGTTGGACATATTTGGATCTATTTCTGGATTTCCTGTTCCATTCTACTAATCTATGTATCTTTTCTTCCACTCATACCAACTTTGACTCCTATAGATAGATGTCTTAAAATACAGAT